TCACTTGGTAGCCCAGGCTGGCCTCGAACTCACAGAGATCCACCTGGCTCTGCCTCCCGAGTGCTGGGATTAAAGGCGTGCGCCACCACCGCCCGGCTTAAGAGATATATTTAACAAATACTTTTAACTTTATTGAGAATCATACTGACTACTGTATTCACATTATTTCTACTTGCGTCTCTGCCCGAACCACCCCCTCAAATTCAAGACCTCTTCCATTATCATTGTTACATATGTGTGCATCCTCCCCTCCTTTTAGGTACACGTGCTTAGGGCAACCATTTAGGAATAGATAGCCTATCGGGATAGTCTCTACAAAAGACATAGTCTTCTTTCTGATTGTAACTTTTCATTTAGGGTAGGGACACACACACACACACACACACACACACACACACACACACACACACACACTGGCATGCCAACTGCTGATGTTACTGTGCAGGTCTTGCTTAGGAAACCTAAGATATTCTGTTGAGATATTAAGGATGCAGCGTCCTGATCATGCTATTCTTGACATTTTATTCAACTATGAAAGTGCAGTAGATAGAAGCTGCATTTTTGTCTTGTTATGCATCTTAATGTAAGTTTTATATAAAGCTTCCATCTCATAATGCTATTCAGAATGAAATGTTCCCTGATGGTCATACAGTTATGTCTCTAACTGTAAACATAAGTCACTAAAAAACTGACCTGCCATTTCATTTTAAATATAAATCTGAAGTAAAAGTTGAATCTGAGATAAAAATTCTCAGCAAAGTATGTGCACATGGTACAGAAAGTGTTCCAAAATAAGCCAACAGAGAACTTTCCCTTCTAGACTCCAAAGACTCGGATCTTCTCCCTGGCCAATAACTGCTAACACCTTTAAATTATTTTTCAAATATTCTATCTATGCCTTATATCTAGGACTTAACAATATTTGTTAAGTATGAATGTATCTTTTTAAGGTCCCTCTATCTTGACATACTAGATCTTAAAGACTGTCTCCCTGTAAGTTCAGAATTGTTTCATTTTTTAATAGCTATAGTCTCTTAGTGGACACACAGGTTATTTCTAATGGTCTGCTTAAACAAATGCACAATTAATTATCTCTTCTTCTCTTCCTCCTTGAACCCTCTCAAATCTAACAGCCAAGCATACACAATAGTAACATGTGAAACTCTAATTCTAAACATGACTCTAACAAGTCTGTTACTCACATTCAATTTCTTATGAGGAATTTCAGAAGTCATTAAATACACTAATAACTTTTGAGTTTATACAGTAACAATCTAGACTGATTGATGAGCAGTAACTACAATATCCATTACCACTCTATTTAACACAATTAGCTTTAATACAAAAAGGGAGAAACCTTCAGTTACTAGGTGAGTACAGTAAAGCACATGGCAACATGGAGGGAGGGAAAAGGAATCAAGAAACGCTGCTTAACTCTCACAGAAATGATCTGTACAGCCCCACAGTTTAGAAAGTAGAGGTTCCATAGCTGATAGTACAAATATAATCACAGAGGGGTATGATACTGTTGTGGAATGTCACTTTAACTATGAAAAGTTATGTTACATTTGTTTATGCTGTGGAATATTACTTTATGTGAAGGTGTGTTACATTTGTTTCTACTGCCTTTGTTATGGCTGCAAAGATGTCTTACATTTGTTTGTGCTGCATTTGTTTAATTAAATAAAGATGTGTGTTGTTTCATCTGCTTGCATAAGGTACCTGGATTGGTCTAATAAATAGGTGAACAGCCAATAGCTAGGCAGTAGAGGGATAGGTGGGCCTGGTGGGCAGAAAGAACAAGTAGGAGGAGAAATCTAGAGGGGGGGACACGAGAGAAAGAGAGGACATGCCTAGGGTCAGCCAGCCAGGCAGCACCAGCCAGCCAGACAAAAGAAGCAGTGGAAGTAGGACAGAAAGAAAGAGGGGGGTGGGAAGGAAGGAAGGAAGGAAGG